ACTAAGTCACCCCAGTTGACGGTAGTCCCAGACTGTAAAGCATAGCATGACATAGGTCAAGGATGCCGATTTCATGCATCAAAGACGCCAAGGTGGATGCCACTGGGAGCCACTGGACGCCGGTCGCCAATTATGCTTCTTCATAAATTGCGATTTACGATCAATATGACAGATGCGCCGTATTGATCTACACGCTGCGATCGTAGCGCGTAGTTCTGATGGCTGTGAGAGCTACATTTGAGCACCCAAGCATATGCGCTCACAGCCACCTGAACTACGTGCTGTAGCGCGCAGTTTTGATGGCTGTGAAAGCTACCGTCAACCGGGGCTACTCGGGACAGGCCTATGACACGGCATAAAACTGTTGTAGTAGCGAAACTAATTGGAAGATCGCAAAACTAAAAATAGTGGCGTAAACATAACTATTTTTCCTATCTATCTAGTATAAAGGAAGTCAAAAAATACTACATTTACTTGCTTTGAAAAATTCCTGAAAAAAATGGTGAAAAACTATGTTTTGTAAAGTTACAACTGCTAAGGTATGTAGCAAAATCTTGTCACCTCCTTGTTTCTGTTTCGATTGTACACCTCCCCACTTGTTTGGGGTGCGTATAATTGACCTGCGCGAATATTGAATGAAGAATTCCGTTTTCAAAGCTATCGTTTCTACCGCTCATTGCATTGTAAAGGGTGGTCCAAACGGAGCGCAGAAAGTTATTCGTCAACCATAGCTAATTTTCATCTTCTTTCTTTTCTTACAGGGACGTTTCGATCAATCTGTCGTTGACAAATTCAAGTATGGATAGGTACAAGATTGAGTAGCGCATTAAAGTGGTTCAAACCTTTTACGAAAATGGGCGGTCAACTCGAAATGCATTTAAGTACTTCGTGAATATTTTGGTCAGCATAATCACCCGAACGAAACCACAACAAGGCGTCTTATTCACAAATTCAAACAAATTGGGTCAGTAGGAGATGTGAAAACACCTGTGCATGCTCGTAAAGTTCGTAATGCAGAAAACATTGCTGCTGTTCGCGATAGTGTGGCTGAAGAGCCCTCCACATCGACTTGTCGTCGTGCTCAACAATTGCACAAGTCACACTCCTCGCTGATCCATATTTTGCATTGAGACCTGAATTTGCATGCTTAAAAGGTTCAAGTGACCCAAGAACTGAAGCCTACGGACCATTTAAAGCGTCGTGAATGGTCCTATTTGGTTTGAAATGGCAACAGTAAATGCTGAATTTTCGACGAAAATCATCTTCAGTGATGAGGCGCATTTTCATCTCTGTGGATTCATCAATGAACACAATTGCCGTATTTGGGATCACCGACATGTGGAACAGCATCCCCGATTACGTCGTTGGCGCTCCGCGTATGAACGCGTTAGAGAACAGACTAGATAAAGCCATAGAAAAATATATGTTCAGACTTGAAATGCGTAGCACCATATCGAACCCGGTGGAAGTCTAGTAGCTATTTAAAACTATCGTCACTCCTGGAAAGATCCGGTCAAGTGACACGATTTTCGATCTTCTGTGAACAAGTCACAAAAAGTAAGAATCGGCGAAAGGCCACATCAGGCCTACTCTTCAGCGCTGACATCGCTATGTTATGTTAAACGTAGTTAACCCTGCAATTTTTATCGATAAAAATATTGCTTATGTAAGTATTAATTGTAAGTAGCAATTATGTAATTAGTAACGTTTGGATCTAATAGGAACATGGATTGCCCAATGTATTTAATCTGAAAATAAGGGGAGCAAAGTACATAGACTTTTGCACGTTTTGTCATTTAGTCACTTAATATTTTGGCTCCTTAAAAAAAGGCCTCAAGTCTTAGAAGACTAGACAAAAGAAAGGCTGGTAATGAGAAAAAAAAGAATATCCAACCTTCTAGGTATGTAATTCTTTGAAGGCATAACGAGAATTTTTTTGCAAGAGGTTATTTTACTATTTTTTAGAATACATACTAGGTTTATTAAGAACATGTACTTTTAGCGCATTTTCTCATTTATGGAAAAAATGCACTATTGTGCTCGCCATGTCCGTCTGTCTGCGCGTCCGTCCGTGACCTCAAGTTTTCGTCGACAAGAAAATGCGCGCTGTCACTCACTGCTGGGAGTACTGAGTTATATATATATTTTTTATTTTGCATAATTTAGCTTCCTAGTTGAAAAGCAACTAGCAATACAATCCCATCAATTTTCGAACACTTACAATAGTAGAAGCCTAAAGGATTGGTACAGATTCCAAAGTGATTAGTCTAATTATTCAATAATTATGAGGAAAAACTGAAAATTTTTTCAGCGCATTTCCTCATTTATGGTAAAAAATGCACTATTATGCTCGCCATGTCTGTCCGTCCGTCCGTGACCTCAAGTCTTCGTCGACGAGAAAATGCGCTCTCTGTCACTCACTGCAGTGAGTACTGAGTTACATTTTTTGCAAGCTTGCCTTATTGAGTTTAGAGAAACAAGAAAACAGCCAGGAACTAGGTTAATTGTTTCAATACATATTTTTTCCATCAATCTGTAGTTTCTGACAGAATTGTGTCAATGTTTTATTAACAGTGTTACATCAAGTTAATGATGCATCATTCTTTAACTCCGATAAAAAAATTGACCATTATTGGATTAAAATTTATGGCAAATGTAATAATAGAAGTTGATACTCTATCTAAAGTATCTAATCAATGAATCTCAATCAATGAAATCAATCAATCTAAAGTATCAATCAATCACGGTGGTGTCTAAGGCCTAATCAATGCAGACACCACCGTGTTATATATTTTTATAATAGCGTCTTCCAGGGAAATATCACCAATTATTCTTTATTTTTTTTTAATTCAGCTTCCTAGTTGAAAATGACAAATGGAAAACGATCGGGCTAATGAGAAAGGAAACCCGATTGATCGTTTCCATTCTACAATGTTCTTGACACCTTTAACAGTACGTCTCAATTAGAGCTACAGGAAGAGGCGAAGAAAAATTAATGCTGTACATTTCCTCCAATTTATTGGCTAAATTAGTAGGGCACAGAAATAAAATAGGAAATTCCGAATCGTAACAAAGTCCCGATCGAAACCTCATGGAAACTGGGGCTTGTAACCCTTGCAGAGCAAACAGAAATTCCCGTAACAGGGCGTGAACCTTTTCAATTGACGCATTAATCAAGAAAAATTCAACTAGGTTACTGATGGGACAAAACTTCAGCGGAAGAACATACCATATTTTAAATTTATTTTGCAAATCATCGCTGGCAAAAAGAAGTATCTATTAAAAAATTCAGAAAGATTCCACTAAGCCAAGAGCTCAAGCTCACATACTGGCAATAGAGATAGAAATTCGTGGTTGCGCGTCGACGAAAATTTTATCGCTCAGAATATACTCTTATCTCAACGGTGACGCAATGCGGAAAACTCCACGTGAGAACAGAGAGGAATAAATGCTTCAGATGGATGTTCTAGTCAATAATGGGGCTTTTTCGTCAAAGGTAAATAGATTATTTTCACCCCTTGGAATGAATATGAAAACTGCCACGTTAAATTCGTTGAATTAAATGCTAACCATCTAATATTCTTCTGTTTTTTTGCCCATTATATTTTGCATCATATAAAATCCTATGTGTCGCTTCATAAAAACATTAGAAATGCATTGTGATGTTGCTCGTCATAACTAAATAAAGGTACTTGGTATTTTGATTCAGTACCCAGTGTAATAGAAGTTGTGGCATACGGAATTATGTACTGCACACTTTTGGTGCAGTAAAAAAGTGGTATTAAGTAACGAGCGTGAACCATAACACTAAGTTGCACATGCTAATAAATGACTTGCTTACATAATAATATCCTTCGTCTGGTTATAAAAATAATTTCGACCATTATTTCAGGGTGCTTGATGATTTCTGGAACCATGCTATTTTCAGTGATAAAAAACGGTGATAAGATACCGTCAACAAGTTTTCTTAAGGCTAAAAAAACTTTAGACGTGGACAACGTCAAGTATAGAAATACATAAATCCCCAATATTTGTAACGTAAGGCACATTAGATATCGTTTATACTGATAATAATAACACTGTATATGACGCAGTAAGCACCACCATCAAATTTACAACTCAACGGGAGAAAAAAAAAACTCAGGCCTGAATCATCCACACAAAATAAACAAACCATTTGTAGTAATAGGATCTCCAGTGGAACTTGTGGTGCACTAAAATCCATCAGTATAAGCTGGAAGCTAAAATTAATACACTTGGTTAATAACAAAACACGCAATAATTCGAATAATGCGAGAAAGACTTTACAAGCACAAAAAAAAAAAATCAAGTGATCAAGAATCAAGAGATTTTAGAGGTCAATTGTGAAAAAGACTACAAAAGTATTGGGTAAGTTTGAATTAAAACTTCATGTGAAGTAATGCGTGCAAGAGTTTAAACTTTGACTGAAACAAAGTAGAGCGGTAAGAACTCCTTGTCATCGTATTTGACGAAGATAGAAGGTATGAGGAGGTTGTCGACAGTAGTGTCATAAGGCCGACCGTCGCTGCGCAGAGGCGGTAGCTTCATTTCTGAGGTGCCTTCAACCACAGACCCCACGAAAACCTTGGCAACCACCAGCACCACAGGGCTCGAGGTGTCCTCGCCGCGCAGGTTACATGCCAGCTGATACGCCAATGAAGCGCTGTAGGGCAGTGAAGGAAAGTTAATTGTTTAATTAATCATACGTTCTAATCTAAAGATGCACTAGTGGAAACATATAAGGCTATTTTACGTTCACAAAGCGCTTTATGTCACTAAAGAATACTTAGAATATTCAATTATTTGATTTCTCAAGTGCTTCAACACAAACGCTCATTAAAACCTATAAGGTTGGTGCAATTTTTAGCAAACAGCTCAACGTTAGTTGGCTCCATTAGTTTTCATTACACGTGCCTGATGACTTACTTGTTGGAAAAGTAGGCGCCACGCCCGAACTTTTTGCCGGAGTCAGCAAAGTCTTGCCGCCATTGGAGGTTATGTTTACTAATGCTGTCTAGATGCACCTCCCTCGTGGCGTGGTACAAGCGTTGAATGTTGAGCTGGTTTGACTTCTCTCGGGCCTGTAAAAGCTTCATGCGATTCTCGAAGCGATCGTAGTGAAAGGTGTTTTGCAGACGACGGATGCTTGTCACTTGGGCATTAGGCATGTTCTTCAGAATATCAGCAATTACTGCGATGCCTTCATTGGATGCCAAGTTGACGAGGAACAGCTCAGGCTCAAGGCCGTCGCCTTGCATCTGATCCCAGTAGCTAGGATAGTCACCAGCAGGCACGCTGTTACCCGTGTCAACAAGGGCTGCCTTGGCAGGATTTGATGATGATGAACTCGAGGAAGAACTGGTCATTTTCAAGTTAAAGGGATCAACATTCTTCGCATACTCCGCAACTAATTGTTTTGGTCTCCGGCAAACGCTTCTTTCGGTACTTGTCTTGTCATTTTTTTGGGTCATATTCGCAAAATCCAATGTATATGTGAAGTGATTCCCGTTCAAGTTAACCTTGCCTTGGTCATTTTTGAGGTAAGGCACTTCAATGTCAATAGATTTATTCTGCGTGCGATACACAGATCCGGCACTGTCACGCTCACCATACTCAATCCAAGCATCGTTTACATCTTTGAAATACCAACCATACACTGTGGCAAATTCAGACTTGGAAGCTGCTGATGATGGAGTGGAAATTCTTTGCACATTTAGCTTGAAACTTCTGTTCTTTGTAGTTAAAGTCATCTTCTCGAACTCGATAACAAGCCCATCTTCTTTCATACAAGCCAATTTTTCTTTTTGATCTTTAGTTTTGTCATAGATTTGGGACTTCAATGTTACCGAGTCTTTGTTGACATCCCTGTATGACAGCTCAATTGTTTTTGAATGAGGGGGTGAGAAGTTAAACCAGATGCCATCTTTGAACAACTGCCACTGTGCACCACACTGAGAATGAAGTTTAGGGCATTTACTGCCAAGTTGACATTGAGATGAAAGATGCTCAACGCAAATTTCCTCACAATTTACTTGGCCTTCACTTTCAGACAAGGAAGCGGATTTGCTGTCGCGTTTTGGCCAGTGAGAAATTCTTGCAGATAGGAGACCAATAAGCTCACTGACAGGCAGAGAATCAATGGCATTCTTTTCAAGAAGAGGCAAGATATTATATGACAACACATCATGGTTCTTGGTACAGTCATTCTTGCAAGGTTTCTGAGTGAAGAGGAAGTCGTAGCATAGATGGAGATCATTACAGTCAGAATTATGGCATTCATCTTCATTGTAAGGGAAACAGATGAAAGGAACTTTAGGAGCACAAAATCGGATCTTTAGGTATGGTAGAAGGAGTCCCAAAGGGACTCCATTCAAGAAGGCTTTTCTCAGAATCGAATCATTGGGCTGTTCAGTCATGTAGTGAATCTGACTGCAGTTATCATCATCTTCACAAATTCCACTCATGAAAGCACCACAAAAATGTAGGAAGCTGCACGACGATCCATTTCGGCATTTGGAAGTAGCTGAGTAAAAGTGGCACAGAGCCATGCGTGGCTGCAGCTTCACAAGGCATTCTTCACTTGACTTTTGGTAAATCACGAACAGAAAATAGTAATGATTTATAAGCTTTTGCAGATTGGTATCGCTCATTTCTAGGCGTTTTGACAGGGTAGATACAGAACTCCAGAATCCAGGAGCCACAAGCAGACTTGAAACGATTTCTTTTACCTTGATCTCTTGATCTTGCAAGGTTTGAAAGTCATCTAGTATTTGGGTTTTTGCTTTTTCATGCCTAGCATGACAGCCTTTGACCTGATTCATCAAATTTTGAACACATTTTAAAAGATCTCTAGGGCTATCATTGGTGTTGATGCCAGCTTTGTCAAGTACAGATAAGCACTGATTAGATACAATGCTGTGATTTAGAGAACAATTGTCGTTTTTGCAACAATATTCTCCTTCAAAGAGCCTTTGGCAGATGTGCAAATTTTTGCAAGCATATAAATCAACACAACAGTGATCATTATACATCTTGCACACAAATACTTTAGGACTACTGTCCTGCATTCTGTGTTTTTTCATGATAGATTCTAGAACAAGTTCACACACATCTCCAAGAAAAAAGTATTTCCAAACATTCTCATTATGAATTGTTTTCCATCGATGTCCAAACTCACAGTCATGTTCACGGCAAGTCCCGTAGGTAAACTCATGGCAGATGTGAAGTTTTTTGCAGTGAGGTGTGGCAGAGCAGCCAGAAGGTTTGATGTATTCTTGACAAAGTTTAACATGGGGTTTGAGTTCAATCATGATACCAGATGGAGTCTCAACACTTGTGAGAAAATGCTTGAATCTTTCAGTAACACATTTTAACGCATGTCCAGTACAGTTCAGACGAGAACTTATCACCATGGCTGGAATTGCATGCTGAGGTATTGCACATAACATTTTTACAACATCAGCAACATCAAGAAATTGGCCTGAGGCAGGTCCCCTGTGATTTGAATTTCCCCTTGCATTAGGAGGCCTACTTCTGCCTCTCAAACTCAAATGTTGAATTCCAACAAATTGATCAGAGCTCATGGCACCTATTTGAGAAACTGGTACACCTGATGCAGGATAATAATTGGAGCCTGAGGCAAGTCCCCTGTGACTTGAATTTCCTCTTGCATTAGGAGGCCTACTTCTGCCTCTTGAACTAGAATGTTGAATTCCAACACCACGGAAGAATGGACCAGAGCTCATGGTGCCTATTTGAGAAACTAGAACACCAGATGCAGAATAATAATAAGAGAATTTTCATGAGAACCTATAGTAGCAAGTCCTCATAACATGCAAATTTCTGAAGTCTTTATGACATGAGAACCTAGCAAATTTTTATGAATTATGAAATCAATTTGGTAAATATGAAATTTTTCAACTAAAAATTACTATTATAAATCATAAAATCACCTTGTAATTTAATACAGAAAAGAATTTATATGTGAAAAGAAAATAAAAAAGCAAGAAAATATCTGCAAAAAATTGAATCATCAATTGAAATTGCATGTATATTATATGCATTTACACTTACAAGTTTATATCATCAGTGAAAACCTACATCTGACAGAAGACCCAATCATTGTCAATGAATTAACCCTTTACCACCAAATCGGACTTTCAAGTCGCTTTAAAAAAACACCTGTTATCTAATAATTTCACATTTTCTTTCATTTTTTCAAAAAAATTCACATGAACAAGAAAAGTCTTAGATTTATTTTCTACATATGTGTACCAAGTTTCAAAGTTATCTGTCTGTAAATAACCAAAATAAAATTTCCATGTTCCAATGGCAATTTCCAATTTCTTGTGGAAATTTTATTTCGGTTATTTATAGACAAATCACTTTGAAACTTGGTACATCTATGTAAAAGTTAAATCTAAGACTTTTTTGTTCGTGTGAATTTTTCTAAAAAAATTAAAGAAACTTAATTGAAGTTTTCTTTAATTTCAGAAAACATTCTCAGAGAACAGCTAAAAAGGGGGTACTGTAGGTACCCCCTCAAAGGTACATCGAAGGGGTTACCTACAGCTTTGATCGAAGCTTTAAAATTTCCTTGTCAATTGTTCTATTTGCAAATTGTCCTTAATGCCGCCAGCGAATGCCCAGAGCGCTATAAAAGAAGCGCAATAAGTGCTCTCATCCAACGAGCACTCAAAACCTGCTCCTCTGAAAATGATTTGAATACGGAGCTGAAAAATTGCAAAAGAACCTTAGTTTATAATGGATTTGCAAATAGAACAATTGACAAGGAAATTTCAAAGCTTTGATCAAACCAAAACAGACGCAACCATGAACCAGAGACTGACGCAAACGTCACAACCATCCACTATGAGAACCAAATGACCAGCGGTTATAAAGCAGATGAACGGATCCTTCATTCTATCGTTCACAACAAGATCATGAACGTAACTAATAATAAAATTAAACTACTGATTTATTACAAAAACAAGAAAATACAGAATCTTGTAATGAACAATAATCCCTGCAAAAAAACAGGAGTTTTCCAAGAGACCAATGTAGTCTATAAATTTTCTTACAATAGAGAAGGTTGTAGACTTCTCCCCAATATGGACTACATCGGGCTCACAAGTACGACATTAAGCCGACGTCTCACATGCCACCTTCAGTCTGGTGGACCAAAGAACCACCTGATGGAAGCCCACAACGAGACCATCACTCATACGGTGCTGGAAGAATGCACCAGCGTTGTCATGAGATGCCCTGACACCAACCGACTCACAATAGCTGAGGCCCTCATCATTAAGGATAGGGCCCCAGCCATCAACCTTCAAACTACTGGATTTGTCAGAACCTCGAGACTGTTTTCGAAGTAATTTTCGGTGCTTTGATTCTAAATTATTTTGTGATTTTGTAATTATTCCTAACAATTTTGATTTTTGAGTAGTATCCTATTTACTTGATTTTGTACTTATGTCGGCGCTAATTTCATCACTCAATGCGCCTTTTAACTTGATAATGAATGATAGAAACATTCTAAACGTCGTTAACGAAATAAAAATGTCCATCGGTAACCTGATTTTCGATTTGCCAGTTCAAACTAAAAATATTGTTTGATATATTGAAAAAAACTAATAAGAAAATTGCAAATAAAACAAATTCTCTGGGCTTCAATGAAACCTGCTTAAAAGAAGAAATTCTGCCAACCTATACTAATATATATATGCAAGTTTGATTGAAGACCAGAGCATGCTTTTTATTAACAATCTTCTTGTTCGTTTTTTCTAGGAGTCGAACTAAATTTCTTGCTGGCGTCGTAATTTTGATAGAACACCTGAGACACATTTTTTTGGAGAATTAGATGAAACATGCACCACATTACCCCTACTTATGCTCATATATATCACAAATGAATTTGTTATTTTGGTGGATAGACCAAAAGAGCAGACACCACTTGAAAATAAGTTCTGTGAACTTATGGCAAACAAGGAATGGCAACAGAACAGGCCTACAGCCTAATAAACACTGCAACTGCTTTCATGTTATTATTATTAATACAATGTCTATTAACCAAGTTATGTTACTAAATCTATAAAATGAAAACATGGGATAATCACTAGTAGGGTGGAATTCTAGGAATTCACTTACAAAAAAGCTTTCCACCCCAGGTGAAAATTGCTTCCCTATGATACAGCACTCTGCCAGGTGACTGACTATAGAGGAAAAGGAGGATCAAAAGTGGACCAACAGTTTCAATTGTATAGTACTGTCAAGTGGGGTGACTTCAGCCACCACTACAACAGAAACAAGTGGCAGCAGAACTAAATAATGAACGTTGGCCAAAGTCACCGCGGAGGCCAAAATCACCCCAGGCACTTCAGCCAACGTTCATCATTTTATTTTGCTGCCATTTGTTTCTGTTGAAGTGGTGGCTAAAGTCACCCCTGGTGGCCAAAGTCACCCCCACTTGATGGTACTTCAGATTTTATAGAATTGCTTAGTCATTTCTTGTTTGATTGATTTTATTTTCCTCTTATAACGGGTGTGGCAGAGAGGACAGACGGTTTTAAAAACATCATAAAACAGTATATTTTTACTGAAAAATAACTTTATTGATGCAATGAGATTCACTAAGAAATAGCATTTCACAGTTAAGCGTGAAAAATAACATCTGGCATGTGGTGGCCAAAATTGTTGATGCAGTGCTGTAGGCATTCTTGTAAGCTCGCGTAGACTCCCTCAAACACCGCACAAATTGTTACTCCCTCCAACACTGCTCAACACCTCATATTGTTATGAGTGACGAAGCCCACTTTCACCTAAATGGCATGGTTAACCAGCAGAACTTCCGTTATTGGGCTAATGAAAATCCACAACAGTTACATGAAAGACTGCTGCACAGCCCAAAGGTAACGGTTTGGTGTGCTGATCGCAAATGTGCATCATTGGCCCTTACTTCTTCGAAGATGGTAATGGTGGTGCTGTTACTTGAACTCATAGCGCTACACAGAAATGATGACCAAATTCTTTGTGCCTGAATTATGATGGCATCGTGTTCCAACCTGACGTGTGTGGCTCCAGCAGGATGGTACAACCGCTCACATAGCCAGAGCATCAATGGACATCATACACCCTCTCTTCCCTGATTGCCTTATTTCCAGCTTTGGTGATGTTCATTGGCCTCCTCAGTCCCCAGATTTATCCATATGTAATTTTTTCTTATAGGGACATCTCAAGGCTACATTATACAAACACAAGCCTGGAACTCTGGATGAATAAAAAGACGCAATTTGCGTGGAAGTCGCGCAAGTTGAGAAGGCGGTTGGAAGGAGTCTATGCAAACATTCAAGAATGCCTACAGCACTGCATCAACAATTTCAGCCACCACATGCCAGATGTTATTTTTCACACTTAACTGTGTGAAATGCTATTTCTTTGTGAATCTGATTGCATTAATAAAGTTGTTTTTTTCAGTAAAAATATAGTTTTATGACGTTTTTAAAACTGTCCGCCCTCTCTGCCGCACGCTGTATAATGGATATTTTGAAAATTATCCAGGCCCTTTGTTTGTAATGAACAATGATTAAGCTCAAGTTAAGTACCAGTAAGTTGACCAGTACTGTTGTACATATACCATATTTGGGGGTGGGGCTTTTGGGTGCAACCAATCACAGCTGGAAAGGGATAGGATATGTATATAATAGAATGAAAGTGGAAAGTTCCTGGCCTTTCCAAGCTATCAGGTCCTGCTTTCCAATTTGCTATCTGTACTGGTTAAATTAATATCCCTCTAGAATTCCACACTGATCACTAGAGTGGTATATTTTCCACTATAAATACATGAAACAGGCATAAAAAAAAGTTTTCATCCCATTTTTGGAGTCAGCAGATTCCAGCTAGATGATTTCTTATCTAATGATTAAGAAAACTGGTTACTGGTTAATTAAGATTTGAAAAGTTCAAATTCATTCAAAAAATGGTATTTTTCTATATTTTTTGGCCAGATTTTATAAAAAAAGAGCAGTTTTTCTCATAAATTTTCCTCCTGAACAGTTTTTTTTACCTAAGTTCTATTGAAAAAATGTTTAGTTATAGATTATACAATTATACTTTTCTCATAATTAATTTTCAACAATCAATACAATTATATAAGCTAACATCAAAAGGGTCAATTGCCATTTGTCACATGTGTGGACTGAGGACTCACTGGACTGTGAAAGTTGCCAGTTGCCACTTACCAGTTACTGTACTCAAGTCTTAACCTGCCACTTGTCAATGAACTGAAAAGTTGAAAACCATATTATACTAGTCATAATAGGATTTGTATTGTAGGATGTGATTGCACTATAATAACTAAGCTTTAAATTGGTAGTGCTAGGAAGTTGTGGCTCAAGTTTTGTTAACAAAATATATCAATTTATTTCAAGGGGAGTGTCTGAGTCATAAATAATTTGTTTTTTGGATTTTCCTGTTTATATGCTTGTCTTAAAGCTGCAATTCTAACCTATCCAACAAAACCAAAATCATCTCTGTACATTGATTTATGCATTCATGACAGATTGCAAAAGAGTTACATTGCACTGAGTCTGCAACAAATACCTATGAACCAAAATTAGCTGCAAGCACATAACAGCTTCCTGATAAAACAGCTTCCCTGATAGCATAACAGCCTCCCTGATGGCATCGTTGACACTCCGAGTATGAACCCCTTCAAGAACAGACTAGACAAAGCTATGCAGGAGCATATGTTCAGTCTTGAAATGCCTAGCACCTTACGGACCAGGCAATAAGTCCAACAGCTATCTCAATCAATCATCAGTTATAGAAAAATTAAGTTCCAAAGGCCAGATCCCTTGTGAATCAAGTCACAAAAAAAACAAGAATCAGCAACAGGCCGTGGGCCTGTTTCTTCAG